TCCTCTGGCTCCTCGTGATACCTGCTCCGTAAGTCTGAAGTCTGCCAGCTGACGAGTGAAGGCTCTGGCTGAAGTGGCCAATGGCCGGCAGGTGTGTCCCTCATACTGAGACCTGGCTTGTGAGTCACAGACAGGAAAGGCAGGGTTCACAGTGGCTAAAGGGCTCCTCCCAAGAACTGATTCGGCTCCTCTATGAGCCAAGCTATTTCTTTGATGTTTCCACGGTACGAAAATGGAAAGCAGGCATGTGGCGTCAGGCATGATGACAGTGCTGAGTGATCTGACGCACTGAACGCTTGCTCCTAGGAAGGGCTGGGCTCGGCGTGCTGCTGCTCTCTGCAGGAAGTGAGGCTAAGGGCTAAGTGACGCGAGTCTGCAGCCCTCCTTCCTTGCAGATGGGGCGGGGGAGGGGAGTAGGACGAAGACCTGTTAGTGCTGGGGCCTCGGAGCTTTTTGACAGGAAGGTTCTGCTGAGGAGCCTCCTGCTATGACCATCAGGCTGCATCCCACCTTCTGGGGCTGAGGCGCAGGGTGGCAGGTCTCATCCCACCAGCGCCCCCGTGGGGAGGGAGAATGTAGAAGCTTTTCCCAGAGCTGCCTCCCCTCCTCTCCCTGCCTCAGAGCCCCCTGGAGAGAGTGCAGGGAGTAACCACCAAAGACAGGTCGCTCAGGTGTACATTCGGCTTACATTCACAGAACCTCCAGCCTGGTCCCCAAATCTCTGAGCCCTTGATGGGCTCCCTAGTTGCCCTTTTGTACATGGAACAGTTTGAGCAAGGAAGTAGTAAGGAGACTTTTCTCTGTGAGAGTGCTCTTAGAGTCACACAGTGCACAGGGCCCTGCCTTTCTGAACCCCCAGCAGGACCCTGCAGAGCCTTCCTCATTGTCATTAAGTCACATTCCTGGAGCCCCTGTCTCCCAAGGCGCTTCTTAACCCTGCACACCACCCTGAGCCTGTCCAGCCTTACCACCACCCAGGTTCCCCCTGGACTGGGGTGCACAGCCGCTGTGGAGGGCCCCCAAGCCTTGTGAGAGAGCAGGATGGGCTTCCTTGCTGGCAAGAAGTGTCTGGCAGAATCATCCATTTTAGGTGGCCAGGGAAGACCCACCAGCTCCACCTCTGGCTCCTGGAGCACGAGGCATGAGGCCTGCACATCTCCTGGCCACATACCAGGTCAGGATGGCTGGCCCCTCAGAGAGGTTTGCTGTCATACACAGGTCAGTCCCTCTGGTTCCAGCAGGTAGCCAGTTTAGAGAGTAGCACCGGTGGACCTCCTCTGCTGAGCCTCTTCCCGTGGAGGCATCACTCTTTGCTGCAAAGGAAGGCTACTGGTCCCGAGGCCAGGCCAGGCTGCCACAGGACTGTCTGTGTGTACTCAGTCTGGATGCCCTCTGTTTCCACACCCCCAGCGTGAGATAGGGACCTGGGAGTTGGAAGGAGGGGTCTGAGGATAGGCACTCCCCGACAAACTCCAGAGGAGCTATGGGGGAGGGAAAGAGAGGGAGGCGTCGCTAGGTCCAGAGAGCTCCTCAGGCTGTGGCCTCCTTGGAAGGCCTGACATGCCAGGTCTGTCTGCCTGGGCCCAAGCCCAGGAGAAGCTCAGGGGAGGTTTCTCACCACAGTCGGGAAGAGGCTGCATACAAATAGCTACACCCATCTGGGAGATGCGTTACTGAGGGGCGTTTCAGCCATTTTTTGCAGAGGTTCTATTTTAGGTGAGTTGCCTGAGATGCGGCCTGGATGATGGGAGGTGGGGAAAGGAAGTCGTTGATGGTTCGTGGAGGAGTTCTAGCATGTGCCTTTGTTTAGCTCTGTCCAGAACCCACGGAAGGATCATCCCAGAAGTCCCCAGACTGAGGGGGACTCTCTCCCGGAACCCCCTTCTCAGGAGGTCTCTCCTCAAGTCATACTGCAGCCCACAGGTGCATGACAGAAATAGGATATTGGCATCCACCACAGGAACTGAATTTGTGGCTGCCACCCTGGGCTAGAGGCGGGGCCTCCCCTCTGGCGGGTTAATCCCCTTCCAGATCCATCTCAAGATGAGCAGAGGGGTGGGGATGTAGCTCAGTGGCGAAGTGTGTGCTTAGCATGCCTGGGGCCTTGGCTTCAATCCTGAGCTCTCAAAAATATACACAAAAAGGTAAGCAGAAGTGGCCTGCCCTTGGGAACTCCATCCTCGATGGAAGTAAGCCTCCCCTACCTAGAATAAACTTACCATAAACAGGGGAAAACCTTGGCCTCCAGCCTCAGCTCACTGAAGCACCCAGTCTGGTGGCTTTGTCCATACAGAAGCTGTGCCCCGTATCACTAAACTGTCTGGCTCAATCCCACAAGCAAGCCTGTCTGGGATGAGCCTGCTCTGGGACATACTTTATGTGTAGGTTAGATATCACCTGTCCACAAGGGCTGGCTGGGAGCAAGAGATACCTAGGAACCAGATTAGTAGATACTTTTGGTTAGAATTAGCCCTCTGAAGAAAAAGAAAACAAACTGGGTGATGTGGTGGAGAGTGCCTGGGGTCTCCTCCGAGCAGACTTTGGGGAATGTGTTCCATGACCTGAGACCTACACAGCGGGCTAGCCAGCAGGCAAGCCCAAAGGCTCAGGTGCAGGAAGGAGTCCCAAGGAGCCCCTGATGGAGCAGGAGGCCCGGTGTGTTTAGGAGAGGCAGGTAAGGGGAAATGCAGCAAGAAGCCAGAGAGAAGGAAGCCTAGATAGCTCATGAGGCCGTGGTGAAGAGTTCCCCAAGCATGATGGGAAACCACTTAGAGGGGTTTGAACCTGTAAGTACTATGCTCTAATTTTCAAGTGGTGTTTTTGGAGAAAAAAAAAAAAATACCAGTCGTTCATGGAACTGAACAGCTGAAGGAGGACTTAAGGCATACTCAAGTCCAAGGAAATCATAAAGGCAGGGCTGCTCCTTTGTCCTTTTCTTGACTCCAGTCTGTATCTGTTGGTTTTAGTCCTACTATTGGTCTGCACATTGGGAAAGAAAACTACTGACCCCTTGGGTAAAAAAGCCCCTCTCCTGTTACTCACTCACCGTGTATAACACAGGGCTGAGATTGGCTCTGATGGTAAGGTCACATGTCCATCCCCTTGTAGGCTCATGGCAGAGGAAACTATGAGGTATGATCCAAAAATATGGTGAATGTTTACTTTAAAAGTTTTTATTACAGAGGGCTGGGGATTTAGCTCAGTGGCAAAGCGTCTGCCTAGCAAGTGCAAGGTCGTGAGTTTGGTTCCCAGTACCGGAGAAAAACCAAAAAAAAAGTTTTTATTACAGTAAAAGACATGTTGCCATCAATCCCCTCAAAATGCTGTCTCTCACTTCAAACACACTCCATTTTTCTTGCCACTTTCTTTCTTTCTTTCTTTTTTTTCTTTCTTTTTTTTTTTTTTTAATACGGGGAATCAAACTCAGGGCCTTGCGCCTGCCAGGCCGGCACTTGTGCCACTGAGCTATATCCCCGGCCCTTTCTTTCCACTTTCTGAAGCAGTTCTGAAAGTCCTTTTTCATGTCTTCAGTTGCACAGTTGTGCCTCCCTTGATATCCTGAATCAGTTCAAAACATTTATCTTCCATGGTCATTTTGACTTTGTGGACAAGCCAGAAGTTATGTGGCACCAGATCCAGAGAGTAAGGTAAGTGCAGATACATCGCGATGTTTTTACAAGCCTGCTTTTCCTGCTGAATGGCTCCCAGCACCAGCGTTCACCGTATTTTTAAATCGCATTTTGTAAATGCATTAGAGGGGACTTCAGAACTGCTTCAAAAAGTGGCAAGAGGATGGGATAAGGTGCGGGAGGGGGAAAATGATGAAGATGGAGCTTTTGCAAATGGGAAGGGGACCAAGAGTTGGAAGGTGCGTGCGTGTGTGTGTGTGTGTGTGTGTGTGTGTGTGTGTAATGGGATAAAAAGAAAAAAGAATTAAGATGTGTTATGTACATGTGCTAACTCCCCAAGAAATAGTAATCATGTAGAATGGTGGAATAAGTGTGTTCAAAGTGAGGGGAATTAATGACAATGTGTCTTTCATGATAATAATTTTTAAAATTTAACATTCACCATACATTTTGATCACCCCTTGTATCCCTCCATCATGTAAGTAGTAACACATGGTACTATATTATTATTGTCCTGGAGGCAAAATTGCCCCATTTTTTTCTTCCTTGGGCTGGGGGATAGCTCAGTGGTAGATAGCTCAGTGCCTGCCTGGAATGCTCAAGGCCCTAGGTTTGATCTGCAGCAATGAAAAAAAAAATTGTCTTCCTTAAGACAAACAAAAGTCTTATTGCATTCTACTTATATCAATCATTCACAACCTATTACAGTCTCTTGAGATATATCGTTACATATCTTATCTCCTCAGTGCGGCTCTGAGCTCCCGAAGGACAGGAATCATGGCTGCTTTTCATTTACTGTGCCTTCCTCTCTTAGCTGTCACTCTTCCCCTGCTCACGCTGCAGGTTTTTACTGAATGCCTCTTACCGGCCAGGCACTACTCTAGAGCCATGCTTTCCCTTGTGTTTGTGTTGCGAAGGTCACTCCGACTGCTGAGTGGAAATGGCCAGAAGGGGGCAGCAGGGGATGGCGATTGACCAGTTGGAGGCTTTAGGGACTGTCCAGCAGGAGGAGGGTAACATGGGCTGGTGAGATCGGACTTGGAGATGAGTGCCATGCAGCGATCTGAGGTACAGCTGCTGGGTGGCAGGGAAGATTGAGGAGCAGATGAGTCTGGCAAGCTGGGGTTGGTGGGTGAGGACAAGATCAGAGGTGTTGGGTTACCCCTGCTCCTCACCGTGTGTCCGGGGCGGCAACTAGAGGGCAAGGAAGTGCCATCTGCCATCAGTCCTGCTCCCTGGAAGCCCAGAGACAGCAGAGTGAGGTTTTGATGCCCCTGTGTGTTCTAGGAGCTTGCCCTGTTGCCCCGGGGCCTCCACTGACTCGGCCCCTGAGCACCAGCCATGGGCTGACTGTGTTACTTCTTTCCCCAGGTGAAGGAGTGGCTCTGTCTCAACTGTCAGATGCAGAGGGCTCTGGGAATGGACATGACCACTGCGCCTCGCTCTAAGAGCCAGCAGCAGCTGCACTCTCCAGCCCTGTCTCCTGCTCACTCCCCAGCCAAACAGCCCCTGGGGAAACCAGAGCAGGAGCGATCTCGGGGCCCTGGGAGTCCGCAGCTGGGCTCCCGCCAGGCAGAGACATCCAGGGCCACCTCAGTGCCGGGGCCTGCCCAAGCAGCTGCCCCTCTAGAGGTGGGGAAGGTGTCTCCTCAGCCCTCTTTCCCCACCAAGCCTTCCACAGCTGAGCCCAGGCCACCTGCAGGAGAGGCCCCAGCAAAAAGTGCCACCGCAGTGCCCTCTGGGCTTGGTGCCAGTGAGCAGACCCAGGAGGGCCTCACCGGGAAGCTCTTTGGCCTTGGCGCATCGCTGCTGACCCAGGCGAGCACCCTCATGTCTGTGCAGCCCGAAGCTGACCCCCAGGGCCAGCCTTCCCCCAGCAAGGGGCCCCCCAAGATTGTCTTCAGTGATGCCAGCAAGGAGGCTGGCCCAAGACCCCCAAGCTCAGGGCCTGGGCCAGCACCTGGAGCCAAAACTGAGCCTGGGGCTAAAATGGGGCCTGGATCTGGGCCTGGAACCCTGGCAAAGACCGGGGGGACAACCAGTCCAAAGCACGGCAAAGCAGAGCATCAAGCAGCACCCAAGGCTGCGGCCAAGCCAAAGACCACGCCGAAGGAGAAGGCCACCTGCCCACTGTGCCAAGCCGAGCTCAATGTGGGCAGCAAAGGCCCCGCCAACTACAATACATGCACTACCTGCAAGCTCCAGGTGTGCAACCTGTGTGGCTTCAACCCAACACCCCACCTGGTGGAGGTAAGAAAGCTGGGCCACGTATGGTCCCTTACTCTCGGAGGGGTCAGGGCCCAGGGCAAGGGGGCACGGAGCCAGGAAGCAGCTGTGGGGCTGTCCTTCACAGCTGATGCTGCCGGGGGCTGTGGTCCCTTTCCTGCCCCTGCCTTGGCTCCTATCCTTCCACTCAGGAAACTGATCAGCACAGTATTGGAGGGAAATGGTGCCTGCTGTCTCTGATTGCCTGATCAGTACCCTGAGGGCTTTCTCAGGTTTGGGAGGCCCTGAGCTGGCCACCTCATTTCCAGCCACCATGAGCATGGCGCTGATGAAAAATGCTACCTCCTTTGCTCAGACAGGAAGACCCGGAGGTCCCACCCTGTCTTCCATCTCTGACCCTCACCAGGGTAGGGAGTTGAAGGGCCGTGGGGCAGAAGGCTGTGCCAGGCCCAGGGTGGGGCTGGGGGCTTTCTCACAGTGAGACAGACCGACTGCCCAGGCCCTGCCCAGCCAGCTAGTATCCACACTCAGGCCTCTCTCATGAGGCATAGGTGTGGCTACTTAACAAAACCATGGTCCACATGTTTTCTCCTGAGGGCTGGGCCTAGGCTCTCTGAAGGTCTACTTGTAAGGATAAGCAGAGATATTCTTCTTACCCACAGGAAAGTTTTGAAGAAAGCTGGGGCCAGGGCTGATCTGAGTCTGCTCTAAGGAAGGGTACTGGGCACTGTGCAGAGCCAGCAAGAGGGAGAAAGAGGCCCAGTGCTCTTGCAAAACTTGGAGTCCAGCCTGGAAAGCCTGGAAAGGCAGATGTACGCCAGGTCTGCTGGACCACTGGCCTGGAGGCTGCTCTGCTCCTGCCCCAACCCCGTTACCCACTCTCCCTTGTCCAGGGCCGCCCATGTGAGCCTCACTGTGGCTGCCTTGACGTAGTTGGGGGTGCCCCCTCAGGGCCTGTGATTGGCTTATCTTGCAAGTGGGTGTGGGTCCTATCAGAAGACGGCCAATACAAGACCCCTGTCTCCTGCACTTCAATGCCACCTAAGCTCTCTAGACTTGGGCTGAGCCATGCCTGGCTGGTGGTAGGGCAAAGGGTGGAAAGTGCAAACCCACACTGGCCCAGGTTGGGACAAGGAAGGAGAGCAGAGGGTTTTATGGGTCCTGTGCCACCTTGTTCTGACTTGTGTTGGTGCAGGCCTCTGTGGGAGTCCCAAAGGAGCTACCCAGCATAACTGGGGAGATGACTTTGGTCACCACAGACCATACTTGCCAGCACCCAGGAAGGAGCAGCCCTGAGCAAGATGGGGGACCTCCTCACATGGCACCATGTAGCCCTCCAGGCCCCACGCTGCCACCTCCCCAGGTTCTAGACCCAATGGCCTATAGGAGGACAGCTTTTCTGGTTGGCAGGGAAAGGAAAGGAATGCCAAGGGGTCACCACAGGGCTCGGGGAACACCAGATGGGTGCCTTGTCCAGGTACCACCAAGCACAAGCTCACTGCTGGTTAGGGGGTACCTTGTGACATTGAGGGGCTGTCTTGGTTACTTTTCTCTCATTGCTGGGACAAAATACCTGACACCCAAAATTAAGGGAGGAAGTGTTTGTTTAGCTCACAGTTTGTGGAGGTTTCAGTCCATATTCAGCTGTCTTCAAGGCAGGGTATCATAGCGGAGGAGCAACAGTTCATGGTGGTGGAAGATAGCAAAAACAACAAGAGTAAAAGGGAGGAACAAGAGAAAGCAAGCCTCTTTCCCTCCTTTATATTTTTT